CACAAGGTAATCTTCACGGATGATGTGCTCCACACGAATCCTGGCACGCTCATCTTTTCCGGCTGCCAGATAATCTGCAATCTCCTTCCTTGCCTTCTGGGCCAACTCGGCTACAGCACATATCCCCAAGGCCAGTCACTGTGCTGGCAGGGGCTGCTGCCTCCATACCTGCCCACGGTCCCCACCATGCACAAAGCCATCATGAGCTTCTCTCCTTCATCGAGCCTCTGCAGTACAAGACACTGAGCCATGGCTTGGTAGAGCCCTTGTGCCTAGGTCCTAGCACACTAACTCACGGGAGAAAGGAGAGCGGGCTTTCAGCTGCTAGAAACACGCCTACACCTTCAACTTCCCTGCCAAGTCGATCAGAACCACGGGTCTTATCTGTGTCTGGGCAGGGCGGGACAGCACAGGTGGGAAGAGCCTCCCACAGCACCCAGGTAGTTCCCCACTATGCCGTGGGCACAGAAAGCCCAGGAAAGGCCCCCCAGGGCAAACTGGCACGTCCCTCCTCACACGGCCCACAGCCGCCACCCCACGCACACCGTAAATTGCACCCCGACACCTGCCAGGAAGGTGGACAGAGGCCACGTTGTGGCCAGCCTGCTCCTCTGGGTACTCGCACACTGGGGCGGACTGCAAGGCCTGGGTCCAGCAAGGAAGAGCAAAGGCTACTCCATACTCGGCCCATGAAAGTACCCTGGCTTGAGAAAAATCTCCTCAAGTCTCCTGAGCCCCAAAAGTATCCTGGGTCACACCTGCCCCCTCAAATACTCACTCTTCTTTTTCTCCAGCAGTTTGAGGCGATTGATGACAAGGCGCAGGTTGACTCGCAAGCGCTCAGCCTTGAACCCAGAGCCCAACATGATAAACACTTTCTGTGGGAGAACAGGAGAAGGTGATTGGAACCGGGAGCTGTTGGTCACGCCAGAAGGACACCAGTCACTGTTCCACTTGGGAGAAAAAAAACCCAAACAATTTCTCCAAACAAACAGGTACAGGCCTGCTATTCCTGAATCTGGTTATTTACAAATGACTGGACCTACAGCACTTATCATTCCCTTTCCCACTTTACAGCCCTGCACTTAACCGAGGCCAACAGGGAATAGAAACTTCCTGGATATTTCCATTCTGACAGACTGAATCTCGACCCCATTAACAGATGCAAGATCATCAAAAACTGGGACTACTCCATAAATAGGAACAGGCTTAGAAAACATACCCTAAAACAAGAAGGTAAAGGCCTGGGTCTATTTAATCTAGACAAGTGACAGTAGCCGCTGATGTGTATACCAGAGTACAGTCAAGTTTTAAGAATGTTAGACAAACATCTACCAGCAGCGGTCTAGGAAAATGTGATTGTGACTCAGTTCAGCAAGCTGAGCTTACTGAGATGGTATTTTGAGGTTCCGTTCAGGCCTAGATTTCTAAGAGGCACAAGTGGAAAAAACCCTCAGATTTCACAACAAACAGCATAGCTGTTAAAGGACATGCTTTCACGCCCTCACTTCAGAAGGTGAGGAAAGTAAACCAACAGTCTCAGCACGAGTTGCAATGTCTCTGTAAAAGTACTTGTTAAATAACTATTCTGATTAACAACAATCTGTTTTAACAGATTAGTTCAAAATACAGCCATCAAGTAGCAGCCGGCTCACCAGCCATTCTTTCACAACCACCCTTCTGTCATTCTAAAAAGTTTTGTTGCCCCCACTCCCCCGCATGAGGCTCTCAGCTACGCTGCCGCACAGAGGCTGATCCAGTTCTTCCTTCCCTGTGTCTTGCCTTGCCTTCCCATCCCTTCCTGTAGACGGGCTGCTACTCTGACCACACCGAAACTAACCTTGACTGTACAGCAATCCGCCTCTGGCTAGGGCGGGCTCCAGGTGCGCTAGTCAGCTGCCGAGACTCGCCGCATACCTGCCCAACGGCCAGGGTCAGTTCAGAGAAGCGCCCAGGCAGCGCAGGAGACCCTGGGTGAGCCCCACCGGCGCAGCTGCGCCCTGACGGGGCTGAGGGGAGAGACCCCTCTGCCTCCCCGCTGCCGTCCTCAGGGGGGTGGCGCCGAGGGGACGTCCCACAGCGCCGGCGGAGACACCCCCCGGACTCGCCCGCGCCCCGGCGGCGGCGCTCA